TGGAATCACTTTCATCACAGCAACCAGTATTCTCCATCCTCTCTCTCAGCTTGCCTTGTAGCTCAGGAAGTAACCACTGACCAAACAAGGAACATGACATACCTGATTCTTGTCCAGCCAGTTGATGATCTCATTGCATTTGTCCAGGATTTTCTGCTTGTCCTCATCCGAGATCTTGCCCTGGAGCTTCTCATCTTCAACAGTAGCTTTCATGTTGAACGCATAGGACTCCAGGGAGTTCTTGGAGGACACTTTGTCACGCTGCTTCTCATCTTCAGCCTTGTATTTCTCTGCCTCCTGAACCATCCGCTCAATGTCCTCCTTGCTCAGCCGGCCTGCAGAGCACAGCAGTGTGTCAGCTGACAGTTCTCCAGCTGCTCCCTTTCCCTGGAGGACTCCCTCATGGTACTGAGCACCCTCCCACCCTCCAAAACACATGAGCCTTACCCTTGTCATTTGTGATGGTGATCTTGTTCTCCTTGCCAGTGCTCTTATCCACAGCAGACACATTCAGGATACCATTGGCATCAATATCGAAGGTTACTTCAATCTGAGGTACACCTCTGGGAGCAGGGGGAATACCTGTCAGCTCAAACTTGCCCAGCAAGTTGTTGTCCTTGGTCATGGCACGTTCTCCTTCATACACCTGGGAAGAAGCACCAGAAAATTAAGCTCTAAGTTTGACCACACATGGAAAACCAGCAAGGGCAACTATCCTGAGGTGGCATGGTCGCTCAGACATCCAAGGAAGGCCCTTAGACCATCCTCAGTCTTTCGACTTCTGGTGGAAACTACGAATGGCTTTGGAATCACTTTCATCACAGCAACCAGGCATTTATTGCTAATTCAAGGCACACACCACCTCTGGCCCAGGATTTACCCGACCATCAACCACTGGCAGTGCTGACAGGGCCTCAGGGTTATGTGAAATGTCCTGTGAGTCCACCCCAGTGCATCTTGCCTACCTGGATCAACACACCAGGCTGGTTGTCTGAGTAGGTAGTGAAGGTCTGCGTCTGCTTGGTGGGGATGGTGGTGTTCCGCTTGATCAGGACTGTCATCACACCTCCTGCAGTCTCAATGCCAAGAGACAGAGGAGTGACATCCAACAGCAGCAGATCCTGCACGTTCTCAGACTTGTCTCCGGACAGAATAGCGGCCTGAACAGCTGCAGGAAGAGAAGAACCATTAAGAGCCCTGCCACAGACGCAGCACGCCACAGTTAAGGTCATGGCTCGCTCAGACATCCAAGGAAGACTTTTGGCCATCATCAGTAGACTTCTGGTGGAAACTACGAATGGCTTTGGAATCAGATTCATCATTGCAAGTCAGGCTAAGCTTCTTAATGCTTTAAAAAGCTTTACTGATCCTGGTGGGAGACCCAAGGCCTATGCCAGTACTGCTCTGAGCCTTCAGCTCAGGTAGTACCAATAAGTCAAGGACACCAACCAGCAGTTTTAGCTTGTAGGAGGTACACTTGTGTCCTTACCTGCACCGTAAGCCACAGCCTCATCAGGATTGATGCTCTTGTTCAGCTCTTTGCCGTTGAAGAAATCCTGCAGCAGTTTCTGAATCTTTGGGATCCGAGTAGAGCCGCCCACAAGCACAATGTCGTGGATCTGCGACTTGTCCAGCTTGGCATCCCTCAGGGCCTTCTCCACAGGGTCCAGGGTGCCGCGGAACAGGTCTGCGTTCAGCTCCTCGAAGCGAGCTCTGGTGATGGACGTGTAGAAGTCGATGCCCTCGTACAGAGAGTCGATCTCGATGCTGGCCTGGGTGCTGGAGGACAGGGTGCGCTTGGCACGCTCGCAGGCGGTGCGCAGACGCCGCACGGCCCTCTTGTTCTCACTGATGTCCTTCTTGTGCTTGCGCTTGAACTCGGCGATGAAGTGGTTCACCATGCGGTTATCAAAGTCTTCTCCACCCAGGTGAGTGTCACCTGCAGTGGATTTCACCTCAAAGATGCCATCTTCAATCGTCAGGATCGACACGTCGAAGGTGCCACCTCCCAGGTCAAAGATAAGAACGTTCCTCTCAGCACCGACCTGGAAGAAAACAGCAGTTGCCATCAAGTGATTCATTTCCTCCTGCTAGCCCAGCAGATGTGCTGGCTGGATAGCAGAGACCAGCCACCCCACAGCATACCTTTTTGTCCAGACCATAGGCTATGGCAGCAGCTGTTGGCTCGTTGATGATTCGCAGGACATTGAGCCCTGCAATAGTTCCAGCATCTTTTGTAGCCTGACGCTGAGAATCGTTGAAGTAGGCTGGTACAGTCACAACAGCATTGGTAACAGTCTGCAAAAAAACCCCAAAGATTAAGTATCTACATAAACTACACAAGTCAAACTACAGACTACGTTGTAGAAAGTCCTAAACCTCACCTTCCCAAGGTAAGCTTCTGCAATTTCCTTCATTTTAGTTAAAACCATGGAAGAAATTTCTTCTGGGTAGAAGCTCTTTGTCTCGCCTTTGTACTCCACCTGGACTTTTGGTCTGCCAGCATCATTCACCACAGTGAAAGGCCAGTGCTTCATATCAGACTGGACCACAGAGTCGTCAAATCTGCGCCCAATCAAGCGTTTAGCATCTGGAAAAGAAGAGTTGACCATATTATATATGCTCATTCACAAGAAAAAGTGTGAAGTTCTTACTAAAAAAGTATGTAAAAACCACTAGACTGCTGCATTTAATCTAGAATTATCACTGACTTGTCAAAAGACCAGCTGCAGGCACTGCCAGGCTCCACCTCTTTGATATGCACTGCTCAACCAGCTCACAGCCAGGAGTACAACACCAGAGCTGCTGTACTACAACCCTCAGTGCAGTTCATGAATTATACTGGGTGCTTAAAGCAACATATCACGAACTGACAACAACAATCTGCAACAAAGCGAGCTAAAACATTTAGCTTTAAGACACTTTCTTAGTTATATAATTCTATACTTCTAATACAAATCTATTACTCAGGCTGAGCATAAAATAGAAGCTCTAATTTTGAAAAGAGTGTTAACCCTGCCATCAGTCAGCACGTTTTCCAACCGTGCAACCTCTGCTACGATCACGTTAATTCTGTATGCTAAAAACGTAACCCTCCAAGTCTTACCGAAAACTGTGTTAGTGGGATTCATTGCTACTTGGTTCTTTGCAGCATCGCCGATCAACCTCTCTGTATCAGTGAAGGCAACGTAGCTGGGCGTGGTGCGGTTCCCCTGGTCGTTGGCAATGATTTCCACCTTCCCATGTTGGAATACTCCAACACAGGAATAGGTGGTGCCAAGATCAATTCCGACAGCTGGTCCCTTCGACATCTTGCCTGCGTAAAAAATAAAAAAACCAAATTGAAATAAAAATCCCCCTCGACTTCCCCTGTTCCTCCACTTCGCTATCCCCGCCTTCCCAGGGGCCTCTCTCCGGCGCCCACGGGTACTGCGTTTGAATACCCCGCGGCTGGGTCCCCACCACGTGGCGCTGCGCATGGCCTGGGACTCCACCTCCCAGCGTGCACCGCGCCACCCGGGCCACGTGACCGGAAGCGGCCATCTTTGTGCGCCGGGTAATGTAGTCCCCGCTCCGTGTGGGCCGAGCC